TGTAAGCTTATTCTGCAAATTATGTGTAAATGATGTTGTTTTGCTTTTGTCTGTAGTGTTGTGGACTAATTCTGTCTCTTAATATTCAACTCTATTATTGATCTGCAGAGGTGGGAGTAAGTCACACATGTGCAAGTCACAAGCAAGTCTCAAGTCTTAACCTTCGAGTCTCAAGCAAGTCCAAGTCAATTTTTTATAAAAGCAAGCAAGCAAGTCAAGTCGTAGCTTGGGTCACAAGTCACTGGCAAGTCATACAAACGTTTGATGATTTCACTGAATTTATATATTAAAATAAGTTAAAACTACATAAGTTATGGACTATGGTTTTATTTGCAACATATTTTTTTAAATATGCATTTCCACATACAGCTGAGTGGTTACTACAATAAAAATCTAAAAAATAAAAAATAAATACAATTTCAAACTACATAGCCTAAAATGTAAATGTAACTGAAATTAGGCCAACATTAAAGCATGAAAAAATAAATATGCCTCAAACATTGCAGAAGACCATTAAAAGGTATGAAACAATTCACAATTCAAGTATAATGGTTCCTATGCCACCAAATGGCATTCTTCAAACTGGGATCCCCTTTATATAAGTTATATAACAGCCGTTGGCATTTAGCCTATTATGAAGTTAAAACCGCCAATAGGTGGCGCCAAATCACCGTCTTAATGTACGAGTCATAGAAGCAGTCAACTGATTTGTTCAAAATGGCAGATTTGTTCTGGAACTAAGCAACTAGGTCACTGAATCACAAATACGCATAACTCTTTCTGTGGCTTGTTTGGAACTATTGTCATTGGAGAAATAGAGCAAAAACAGAAAATATTTGGAATATTATGTCTAAAATGTCACATCACAATATTCACTCTTTGTTTACTGAACTGTTTTATAAAATCATCACATTTGCAATCGGGCCAATAATCTGGAAATATTTTTTTATATATGTTATAATTATGAAAATAACTCATACTAGGGCCATTTTTCCACCACATTTTGAATTTTGGGTGCATATTAATTCTGCTGGCATTTTTTGCCACCAACCCCCTGATAACATTAAGAGAAACATAAACGACAAAACTAACAGTTTTCTATATTGTTTTTCGTCATTGGAAAGAACAACATTTTTGGCTTTAAAGCATGATTTAAAAAGAAATGTGGCAAATGTTATACAAAACATATACCATCATTAATTATCATTTGAATATTGACAACATTAAGCTACATTTGAAAACATAATTGTGTATAAAGAGTAGGGGTGTGCCAAAAAATCGATTCACAGAAGAATCTAGATTCTCATTTGCAACGATTCAGAATCGATCTGAAATGTCCAAGAATCGATTTAATAAATAAATAAAATCAGCTGGCTGTTCGCCTCCATTTTTGTAACTATAGCCTATACGGGACGTCCGGACGTCATGCACGCAGCCGGTTTTTGAACGTGAGCGGCAAATCAAAGGAAGCAAATATGGATGCTTCTATGAAGCTTCTGATGCTTCTAAATATGATGCTTCTACATTCATTCTGCCGTGGCGGGCCGCCCGCCACACCTAAAATAAACCCGCCACGGCTGCAGCTTCTCAGTGAGGTCCGATATTAATGTGTATACTATTGTGTTATTGTTACGCTAAAGGCATAAAAAACATTGTAAAGCACCATAAAGTGTTCGCACTATATTCCAAGACTTCTAAAGTCATTCAATAGCATAATGTGAGGTAAAAATGAATATTTAAGTCGTTAGTTAAAGTTAATAGAAACTCATCTCTCCTCAGTCATTCTCCATTCAGCATTCACACAGCGCGTCGCGTTATAGCGTTTTCTAAATCATAATCCTTTCTCCCGGGTGTCTGTTACAGCACTGGAGAGCGCTATGAATTGTTCATGCGCACTGTAACTGAAATTTAAAACTGTTAAAAGAAAATGCTCAATAAACTGTTGCATATATATAATACATTAAGCATAGATAGACAGATATAATCTCTTCGCTTTGTGCTTTGAACTTTTCAATCCGGAGCGCTGCGCGCTGTGACTTCACGTTGCTTCAAGTGCATCATTCTGCGCACGGGATGCGCATAATCGCTTTGCCGCTCTTATTCGAGCCTTTCATGTTATAATGTTATAATACTTAGGGGAGGTTTAAACACCTGGGGCAAGGGGGCGTGGCCAATGGGAATATCACTCATGGGCCACGCCCCCTCCCCCTGGCGAAATGGGCCTGCCACCACAGCTGGAAAAAATCCTAGAGGAAACACTGGTCTCCGTTTGTCATTCTGTATAGCAAAGCAGATGAGAGTAGATGATCAGAAACCCGATTAGAAATCATTATGGATAAAATCGAATCGTTTTAAATCGAAAATCTTTTTGAATCGAAAATCGATTTTGAATCGAATCGTGGCCTCAAGAATCGGAATCGAATTGAATCGTGAGATGGTAAAAGATTCCCACCCCTAATAAAGAGGCATGCTGTTTTGACCAATATTATTCTCTCTAGATTTAAAGATAGTCAAATTAACTATAACAAACAGGTTAAACAAGCCATAGCTTACTTTTAGACGTGGTGAATGAAGTTCGACTGTTCGAGGTTGTGATGGTCGTCCGATATCCCTTGCCAGTTATTATGCGTACAACAAATCTTCTTGCATGAATATGGTCATTTTCTAGTGTTTATATCCAAAAAGAAACGATGCAGGGAGATGTTTTTGTATTTAGCGCGCTCACCACGATGTAGGCTATTTCTGGGCTTGTGCAGCGTCACGCAATCGCGCAGAATCTGATGACTGACGTCAATGGTTCCGTTGCTTTCATTTTGTTTATCAATGGATGTTGCGATGATTTATATAAAAATGTATATCAAGTCATTCTCGAGTCATACAGTTCAAGTCAAGTCAAGTCTCAAGTCATTGGATCTCAAGTCAAAGTCAAGTCGAGTCATTTTCTTAATTTAGTCAAGCAAGTCTCAAGTCCTTAAATTTGCGACTCGAGTCAAGTCATGTGACTCGAGTCCCCCATCTCTGTTGATCTGACTGCATTGACACCATTATATGAGAACTGATGAGGACATTGCTTTCTACACAACTGCTTTATTGAATCAACAGAACTCGATCTGAGTAATGACTCTCTCTTCTTCTGTAGAGCTGCTTCACTCCTGACTCTAAGTTCGTCTCATATTTGATGAAGTTTCATAATTGATTCTGTTATTCTTCTGTTTATTACTGTGAAGCTGCTCTGAAACGATCTGTACTGTATAAAGCCGAGCTGACGTTTGCTATGACAGATGTGTGTGTGTGTGTGTGTGTGTTCACTTGAGCTGATTGAAATGAATCTGTGTTTCAGATGACGGGAGCAAAAGACCGAATGAGAGAGAAAAAGATGAAAAACCAGCCGAGGAACGTCACGTACACGAGCTCAGGTGATCGACTCTTCGGCCGAAATGATGCGGTTTGATCATGTATTATTTGTGCTTATTGACCGAATGCTCCTCTACAGGTCGTGGTGCCGGCAGAGGTCAGGGGTCACAGGTCTGGGTCAGAGGTCATCAGGCTGGGGGTCATGGTTACAGTCAAGATCTGCCCAAATACATCACAGGTGATCAAAAACACTCTAATTATAGAACGATTATCCCTTTAATGTTAATAAAACAACAAAAAACAAAAGAGAAAATCACTCACTGTTATAGTAGCTCAACTCAAGCGTTAATGAGAATAAATGTATAATGTATACAGTGAAGTCTATTTTATATTTGTTTATTTAATTTGCTTCTTGAATACAGCTGTTAAATACTAAAAAAAATAAAGCAATGTTTATTTCATTTGCATATTATGTTGTGTATGTGTAATGTTTATCTTTGTTCTAATTTTTAAATAAAAAAAATGACAAACATTTTTATCTTCGCCACTTTGGCCTGATGTCTGCCCTTCTTTTGTTTTTAAATATATTGTTAGCTTGTAAGCCTTTGTTTTTAAAGTAGGGTCATTAGTTTGGCTGTAATGCTCACTTGCAAAACAGTGAAACCAACATGCAAAAAATAATAATTCTAAAATCATGATATATTTTTGCCATATCGCTCACGCCTAGTGTCGAGTTACATTCAAGCTATTTTAAGACACGAATAATTTTTTTTCACGGAAAAAATATTTAAATGTAATTTTGGTGATCAAACACGAGTTTTAAGGGATGAAAGTATTGACTACAGGGGGACTTCAAGATTCTGTCTCGTAGCCACTGAAGACATAGTTGTGGATATGATATTGCATTTCTGTCAGCAGATCCTCCTAAATATTACACACTGCACCTTTAATACTGAAAGTTGTTTGTGTCTCGCAGCGTCGTACTTCGCTAGAGCGCGCGCGGCGGAAGTGAGCGCCATGCTGAAGGCCGTCAGTAGACCCGCCGGCAGCTGCCACGTGTTCAACGCTCTGCCCAAACACATGCGCAGACGAGCCATGAGCCACGACTGCAAGAGGCTGCCGACACGCCTGCGCGAGGGCGCGCTACGCCTGGTACGCCACCCGCCTCCGCTCACTCGCAGCGCTTTCACAACACACATCAATCACAGCAGCTTTACAGAAAGAGCAGCGTTTAGAGGCAAAACGCTGTCCCTCCTTTAGTGGACTTCGCTATCTTAGGTACTCTCAGAAGCCCTCATTCAGATCTCTGCTGTGTGTGTGTGTGTGTGTGTGCAGGCGGAGCGCAGTCAGCGCGCTCCAGACCAGCAGAAGAAGCCGGTGCCGAAGAGCAGGAGTCGGCGAGCCCGCCGGAGACACGGGAACCTGTTGCTGGAGTTCAACCGCAGACAGCAGAAGAGCCGCTGGCTGGAGACGCACATCTGGCACAGCAAACGCTTCCACATGCGGAAGAGCTGGAGCTTCTGTGTGCCGCTCTCGCCCACGGCCAAGGGCTTCCGCGCCGGCTACCGGGCCATGAACACACACGCCCTGCTGCAGGTGTGTGTCCCGACTCCACACACTGGTATCTGTACAGCGCTTTCACAACACACATCCTATCAAAGCAGCTTTACAGAGGGAGCATGAGTCCACATTACAGTGGTCTGTCATCAGAGGAGACTGTCTTTCAGAAACACACAGAATCACAGTAGGTCTGTGTGTTTGCGTCAGGACTGTGTGTAGGCGGTGAGCTGGCTACTGTGTTCCTCAGACCAGATATTTTACAGATGTCTGAAAAGCTACATTTTAATTTCTTTCTTAAATATTGGCAAAATTCAAATTATATTCAAATTCTAAAGGCAATACTATGTTAGAGGGAAAAAAGTACTGCATTGTCTCCTGTGTCCACAAGAGGTCGCAAGCGAGCGCAATAAGCAAATATAAACCAGATGAGGTTACAATAGTGTGTTAAACTGTGTTTGTGCATCAGTAACCTGAGAAAACACACTTCAACACCATAGGCGTCATTTACGGGGGGACGGGGGGGACACGTCCCCACCACTATTGAAACATCTCGCGGTACGGATGTACCAATACAAGTAAAACATCTCCAGTTAACTAGCAAGTGATCCTGTGCTCGTTGCCTGTGCGATCAGTGGCGCGGATGCAGTGTTCTGTTGTGGCTCGCACTGACTCTATTCAAGTGTGGATTAGAACCCAGAACCTCCGACACGCTTGGCCACAAAATTCTGCCACTGGACCATTACAGTACCTGCGCAACACAGGCGGATCTATGTGTTTATTCACGTGAAAATTCATGACACTAACAACATATTAGATCTCATTGTACGACAAATTAAACCCAAAGTAGCCTACTATTTAAACCCCCCCCCATCACATTTTTGGTCAGACATCATCACGTCTTTGTATACGTTTTTATTTATTTACATCAGTAGGCCTAAGCTACAGGACATCGTCTTTCAAAACATGACCTGCGCGAAAAAGAAAAAAAAATGAATGTCACTTTTGAAAATGCCCTTCCGAACGCGTCTCTGTCCCCAGCACATTTCAGACCAAACTGACGCCCATGTTCAACACACAGCGTAAAGACCTACATGAACACACACCAGCAAACTGGCATTCAGAAACACTTCTAGTCAAGTCAGGTCATCTTCATTTATATAGCGCTTTTAACAATGGATTGTTTCAAAGCAGCTTTACAGAGATTTTACTCTCTACATCTACATATAGATGCTCTTGATCTGAGTGAGTGCTGAGCGCTTTCTCTCACACACACACACACTCTCTCTCACACACACACACACGCTGAGCGGTTTCTGTTGACAGTGTTTCAGCTGATGAACACACACTCACACACACTCCGCTCTGACCGATGTGCAGGTTTGGTCAAGTGTGTTGTTGCACCATTTCTGCCTCCGGCTGAGAGGGTTTCGTCAACAGGAAGAACCTTTTCCCGCCAGTTTTCACATTAGCAACTGCGCTGAACTGGATAAGCTAGCAGAAACACACGCGTCAGTGACGTCATCATGTCTCGCGCATATATGACAGCCCACGTGATTTCAACCGACGCCCTCCGAGAAATGCCCTCTATTATTGACTCTGTGATGAATTGTGTGTAAATTGCACTGAAAAGCTTTTGTTTACTGTAGTGTGTGTGTGTGTGTGTGTCTCAGGATTTGTCATATTTCTGCTGCCTGGAGCTCCAGGGATCTGAAGATCAGATACTGAGAGCACTGGCTCGACTCACCAACAAACAAACAGGTGTGAGTGTGAGTGTGAGTGTGTGTGAGTGTGTGTGTGAGTGTGTGTGAGTGTGTGAGTGAGTGAGTGAGTGAGTGAGTGAGTGAGTGAGTGAGTGAGTGAGTGAGTGAGTGAGTGAGTGAGTGAGTGAGTGAGTGAGTGAGTGAGTGAGTGAGTGAGTGAGTGTGTGAGTGACTGACTGAGTGACTGAGTGACTGAGTGACTGAGTGAGAGTGTGAGTGAGTGAGTGAGTGTGAGAGAGAGTGTGTGAGTGTGAGAGTGTGAGAGTGTGAGAGTGTGAGAGTGTGAGAGTGTGAGAGTGTGAGAGTGTGAGAGTGTGAGAGTGTGAGAGTGTGAGAGTGTGAGAGTGTGTGTGAGAGTGTGTGTGAGAGTGTGTGTGAGAGTGTGTGTGAGAGTGTGTGTGAGAGTGTGTGTGAGAGTGTGTGTGAGTGAGTGTGAGTGAGTGAGTGTGTGAGTGAGTGAGTGAGTGAGTGTGTGAGTGTGAGTGTGTGAGTGAGTGAGAGTGTGAGTGAGTGAGTGTGTGAGTGTGTGAGTGTGTGAGTGAGAGTGTGTGAGTGAGTGTGTGAGTGTGTGTGTGAGTGTGTGAGTGTGTGAGTGAGTGAGTGAGTGAGTGAGTGAGTGAGTGAGTGAGTGAGTGAGTGAGTGAGTGAGTGAGTGAGTGAGTGAGTGAGTGAGTGAGTGAGTGAGTGAGTGAGAGTGAGTGTGAGAGTGTGTGTGAGAGTGTGTGTGAGTGAGTGTGTGAGTGAGTGTGTGAGTGAGTGAGTGTGTGAGTGAGTGTGTGAGTGAGTGTGTGAGTGAGTGTGTGAGTGAGTGTGTGAGTGTGTGAGTGTGTGAGTGAGTGTGTGAGTGAGTGTGTGAGTGTGTGTGTGAGTGTGTGAGTGTGTGAGTGAGTGAGTGAGTGAGTGAGTGAGTGAGTGAGTGAGTGAGTGAGTGAGTGAGTGAGTGAGTGAGTGAGTGAGTGAGTGAGTGAGTGAGTGAGAGTGAGTGTGAGAGTGTGTGTGAGAGTGTGTGTGAGTGAGTGTGTGAGTGAGTGTGTGAGTGAGTGAGTGTGTGAGTGAGTGTGTGAGTGAGTGTGTGAGTGAGTGTGTGAGTGAGTGTGTGAGTGTGTGAGTGAGTGAGTGAGTGTGTGAGTGAGTGTGTGAGTGAGTGTGTGAGTGTGTGTGTGAGTGTGTGTGTGAGTGTGTGAGTGTGTGAGTGAGTGAGTGAGTGTGTGTGTGAGTGTGTGAGTGTGTGAGTGTGTGAGTGTGTGAGTGAGTGAGTGAGTGTTTGAGTGTGTGAGTGAGAGTGTGTGAGTGAGTGTGTGAGTGTGTGTGTGAGTGTGTGAGTGTGTGAGTGAGTGAGTGAGTGAGTGAGTGAGTGAGTGAGTGAGTGAGTGAGTGAGTGAGTGAGTGAGTGAGTGAGTGAGTGAGTGAGTGAGTGAGTGAGTGAGTGAGTGAGAGTGAGTGTGAGAGTGTGTGTGAGAGTGTGTGTGAGTGAGTGTGTGAGTGAGTGTGTGAGTGAGTGAGTGTGTGAGTGAGTGTGTGAGTGAGTGTGTGAGTGAGTGTGTGAGTGAGTGTGTGAGTGTGTGAGTGTGTGAGTGAGTGTGTGAGTGAGTGTGTGAGTGTGTGTGTGAGTGTGTGAGTGTGTGAGTGAGTGAGTGAGTGAGTGAGTGAGTGAGTGAGTGAGTGAGTGAGTGAGTGAGTGAGTGAGTGAGTGAGTGAGTGAGTGAGTGAGTGAGAGTGAGTGTGAGAGTGTGTGTGAGAGTGTGTGTGAGTGAGTGTGTGAGTGAGTGTGTGAGTGAGTGAGTGTGTGAGTGAGTGTGTGAGTGAGTGTGTGAGTGAGTGTGTGAGTGAGTGTGTGAGTGTGTGAGTGAGTGAGTGAGTGTGTGAGTGAGTGTGTGAGTGAGTGTGTGAGTGTGTGTGTGAGTGTGTGTGTGAGTGTGTGAGTGTGTGAGTGAGTGAGTGAGTGTGTGTGTGAGTGTGTGAGTGTGTGAGTGTGTGAGTGTGTGAGTGAGTGAGTGAGTGTTTGAGTGTGTGAGTGAGTGTGTGTGTGAGTGTGTGAGTGTGTGAGTGAGTGAGTGAGTGAGTGAGTGAGTGAGTGTGTGAGTGTGAGTGAGTGTGTGAGTCAGTGTGTGAGTGAGTGTGTGAGTGTGTGAGTGTGTGAGTGTGTGAGTGTGTGAGTGTGTGAGTGTGTGAGTGTGTGAGTGAGTGTGTGTGTGAGTGTGTGAGTGTGTGAGTGTGTGAGTGAGTGAGTGAGTGAGTGAGTGAGTGTGTGAGTGAGTGTGTGAGTGTGTGTGTGAGTGTGTGAGTGTGTGAGTGTGTGAGTGTGTGAGTGTGTGAGTGAGTGTGTGAGTGAGTGTGTGAGTGAGTGTGTGAGTGAGTGTGTGTGTGAGTGAGTGTGAGTTAGGGCTGCACGATATTGGTAAAAAATCACATTGCGATATTTTATTTTTCTGCGATATATATTGCGATATAAAAACAATTTCACCAGATTACTTAAATAGCTCTATTTGGAAAGAATGAATAATTCTAGAATGACTTGGGTGGTTTTGTCATGGAGTAAATCTGCATAGAAACTAATATTAATAGTATGTTAACTAATGTAGTTAACTAGACTTTAATAAATGGAACCTTATTGTAAAGTGTTTCTGATTTATGTCTCTTGAGTTCAGTGTTGGACAGATCAGTTGTTTTAACCATTCATTAAAGTGAATCGGTTCAAATGAGTCATTAGTTCGCGAATCGGACGTTTCATTAACGGACCACATCGCACAAGATTTGTCAACACAGAAAACATTTCATCACTGGATGAAATCCATCACTGAGTCAACTCAACTCAATTCATTAATATGCGCGAGGGAGGGAGAGCGAGAAAGACAGTTTGAAGACGGTGAGAGTGCGCGCGCGCGACCGGGGCTTTCACTCTCTCTGCTCGCTCTCTCAGTTAAACAAGCGCAGCAGTCAGTCTTTACATCAGTCACCGGTCAAACTTTGGCGGGACAAAAATACGCTTTAGAGGCTGACAGAAAACAGCGCGCAAGTTCCAGTCTTCTTGCGCTTTATGTTTAAACTGACAGGACTTGCAAATTGATAAACTCTCACACTATGATGGTTGAACTTTGCAATTAATCCACGAATCACAAGCGTTACGGGCCGGAGAGCTGCTGGCACGTTGCCTACTGATCATGAATCACCATCAACTACGATCCATACTTGACATCGTACATATCTGCGATGTGACTATCGTGGATGCGCACATCGCGATATCGATGTTAAAATGATACATCGTGCAGCCCTAGTGTGAGTGAGTGTGTGTGTGTGTGTGAGTGTGAGTGAGTGTGTGAGTGTGA